CTGGCAGCACCGACCCGTCGGCGGCCACGCAGCTCAATCGGATGGGCACCGTGAACTTCACCACCGGGGGCTCGTCCGGGTAGTTGGGCCCTCGCGCGCCAACGGACGGCGCGCAGGAACCGGGTGTTTGCCATCGCTCGGACGTGCCGTACATCTCTCGGTGTCGTGCGTGTTTTCTGTTCGCCAGATGGTCCGAGATTCTCCTTGGTGGTCTTGATTTTCTGGCGCTTGCCTTGCCGAGAAACATGCGCACGTTCGAGCGATGCCAAGGGTGCTGCAAGAGGTGGTCCTGGCCCGGGCTGCTCCCAACGCTCGCGTCGCTTTTGGGGGGGCCCTTTGGGGCTCTCGGGGCCTCGTGGGGGGTGCTCCGGAAGCAAGCTGCGCATCCCCAGGGCCGCCATGGGGTGGGGCCACTCCTGGCAGCACGGGCTGGGCGAGGGATGGGGGGGCCTTCCAAGGAGCAGGGGAGGCATGGCGGAGGGATAGAGGGAGGAAGATGAGGAGGAGGAAGACGAGAAGAGGGAGGAGGAGGAGGAGGAGGAGGAGGAGGAGGAGGGGGAGAAGGGAAGGGAGGAAGAGGAAGAGGAGGAGGAGGATCAGTGTTAACCCAAGAGTCATCAACGATGTTGGAATGAACCCTCTCTCCAAGCTCCCTTTTCAGAAACTCCTACATTCATCTCCACTGAGGGAACTGCCTCGTCGAAAGACTCTCGTTTGAAGACATGCCCAAATATGGTTCTTGGGATTCCAACGCCACAAATCAACCTGACGGTTGCGTCTGGACGAGCCTGAATCGTGCCATGGGGCCCTTCCAAAGACTTCAACACCGCGAATCCGCACAATCCTGACTGAATCTTTCCAAAACAACCACATCTGGCACGTTGATCATGGGAATCCGTGGAACTCTTTATACAAATTATAAACAACTGTGCGCGGCGCCGAAACGAGAACCACATTTTGAAAAGGAGCCGTCATCAATCCTCGAAACTCTTGCAAATTTGTAAGACGAACGCACGCGGCGCTAACACAAAAACCACATGTTGAAAACAACCCGCCATCAATCCGCGAAACCCTTGCGCATGTTTGAAACAAATACGCGCGGCGCTAAAGCGACAACCAACTTGTGAAAACGTGTCGCCCTCAATCCGTGAAACTACTGTAAATGTTTGAAACGAATGTGCGCGGCGCTAAATCGAGAGCCACATGTTGAAAACCACCCGCCCTCTATCTGCGAAACGGTTGCCACTTGTGAAGCTTCAAGGTCATAATTCGTGAGGGGATCTCAGGCGAAACGCCCGGCCGGCCCTAAAAACTGGCCTCGGGGTGCGACACGGAAAAATTATGCGTAGGGAAAAAGGAATGGAGGGAGAGGGGGGGAAGGGGGAGGGGGAGGGGGAGGAGAGAGGGGGGGAGGGGGAGAAGGGCAAGCTAGGTGCGCTCGCGTAATGTCTGACGTCCGACCCCTCCCTCTCATCCTGTACCATGGCGTAGATCTCCTCTCTATTCGCAGAGTCGGATGTCGAGCAGGGCAACGATCCCGAGAGGGTGCGCGATGCATCGTGAGCACGGCACAACAGGGCGTAGAAGAGCACGGCAAAGCATAGTATAGTAGTATAGCATGTCATAGCATGGCGTGGCGTTGCGTAATGGAAAATTGAATCACAAAGCATTGCAACGTAAAGAATGACATCACACAGCGGCACAGAACATGACATGGCATAGTATGATGTTGAAGATCACAGCGTAGCATGGCAAAGCATGGCGTGGCACTGCGTAGTCAAGTACTGCATATCCTAACATTGCAGCTGAAGGCATGACATCGCGCAGCGGAAAGCCACAGAATTTCATTGCATGCCGTGGCATGGCACTGGAAATAATGACGCCAACGCTGCAACGGGAGCACGATTCGGAACGAGTGGAAGCGCAAAAATGAAGCCAGCGCATCAGCGGGAGCAACATTTTGAAAACAAGCCAAGCGAAAACCCAACTCCTGGGAATCCTGTGTAAAACACAATACGCGGAGGGGGGCCGAACATTTCCCAGGCGTCATCAGTGGAAAGAGGAAATTCATATTGTATAACTGTGGAGGGGGAAGAGGAGGGAGAAAGGGAAGTCTGCTTTGGAATGCTAATTATGTTTGCCGGGGGGCCGGTTGGGCCACGCACCCTAGGCGAAGCACAACCACCCCGCACTCGGAGCCGAGGCCCCGAATGCGACATCGCCCCGCCCTGCCCAATAGGTGCGCATACTGGATATCTTCGCGTAACGCACCCCTGTCCCGTCCGCGACAGCACCGCCGCTGCCGCCCCGCAGAGCTCGCCCGACGCCGAAGGAGGAGGCAAGAGCGGAGAACGAGGGAAGCCACGCGCCCGCCCTCCGCAGCCGCTCACGGTTCTGCACCGCCGCAGTACGCCCACCTCATCACCAGCTCAACGGACGAACAGCTCGTCCAACCGCTTCACTTCACGCTCGGCTTCGAGGAACACGCCGAACGGTCCCAAGGCCGACCGAGGCAGCGGCTGCCCCGTGCTGAACAACTCCTCAATGCTCAGCATCTCCGCAACGGCCCACATGGCCTCTGGAAGCTCCTCCTGCGCTTTCCGAGTCGCCTACGGAGCTCTGCATCGCCTCCGTGACCTTCAACATCGCCTTCGTGATGTCCAAAAGTAAACATGTTGGGGGTAGTTCTGGAAGTGTCCAGAGAAACATGTTCTGGATACATTGCCTGTTTACACGCCTGCGTACCTTCCGTACTGCAACCTGTTGGCTAGGATTATGGAAACTCTGACCTTCCTATATTGTATAAGTTTCACTGAACAGATACTGGAATGTCATCCATCTCTTAACATATGTTTGGATTCGGTGTTCATCTATACCCCGAGGCTGGTAGCAGAGCCTCTCGGACCGCCCGCTAACGTGCGCGTGGCGATCATGCTACGACAGCGGATCGACTGTATTCAGATGTACATCAGATGCCACAACTACCACATCGCACGACTCGGTTCAAGATTATCACCAGGCACCAAAAGCTACGACAATACTGCTTTCAGGTTTCTCATCAAATAAGAACAGCTCGGACGAATACTCATGGCAATTCGTGTTACACAATGCAGCAGGACTACGGCTATTTCCCAGCTTGGTCTTCGTTCGTATACGAAGGATGTGCCTCCTGGTTGGAGGCCCTAGACAAGCCTTGGCGATTGTTATTTCTGTCGAAACCGACGACATGGACTTCTATAGCTACACTGTTGAATGTGAGCGTTTTTATTTTGGAAGCGGCAAAAGCACGGAGGACTCAACATTGGCGACAGCGACAAGGCTAGGCTACTTTGCTCACAATCAGGATCGCCAGAACGATAACTGTCAGATCTGAGGCTCGAAGGTGGAGCTGTATCACTCTCTCGACAGACGATTGCTCTACAAATTAAGATTTCGAACAACGAGACCGCCAACTATGACCAGTCTCAGGGTTACAAGCAGTATCCGGCGGAAGACTACGACGAAGACGACTGGTACGACGAGAAATACTGGAACGAAAACTGGCATGATGAAAAATAATGGACAGATGGAGGTGGCGGAGGGGGAGGAGCAGGAGCGGGTTGAGGGGGAGGGGAAGGAGGGGAAGGGGGGGGAGGACGAGGGGGAAGAGGGCAAGCTAGGTGCGCTCGCGTCACATCTGACCCATGTCGAAGGTAGATATCTTCTCCATTCACACAGTCGGCTGTTGAGCGGGGTAATGATCGCGACAGGGTGCGCGATGCATGGTAGAGCACGGCATGGCAGGGCGTAGAAAAACACGGCTGAGCGTAGCATGCCATAGCATGGCGTGGCATTGTGCAAAAGGCATTGCACCACAAAGCGCTGCAACGCAAAACATGGCATCTCACAGCGGCGCATAATACAACACCGCACAACATGTTATGGCATGGCGCCGAGGTTCCTTGGACGGTAAGTGGACCGTCTTCGAGAGGTCTGGGCCGGTCTGCAGATGTCTAGCTCCTGAGGACCCCCGAAAAGCTCCACACAAGCCGGGGCTGATGGAGGGCACCCGCTGGCTCTGCTTTCAACATCGCTTTCTCGAAGCAGAAACGGGACTCCCGCTTGGTACTTCCTGAAAGCGACGACGCCCCAAAGTGGGGGGCTTCTGCGGCCCAAATCATCAACGAATCGACACCGAATGTGTAATCACTTCCGAATTTTTTTTCGGGGGGGCATTTTCTAGATGGTGGGGCCGATTTGGAAGGACCGAAAACGCCCGCGCTGCAGCGGGAGCATGATCTGGAACAAGCAAAGGCGCGGAAATGGGGCCAGCCCTTCACCGGGAGCAACATTTTGAAAACAAGCCCAAGCGAAAACCCAATTCCTGGGAATCCTGTATCAAAACCAGGTACGCGGAGCGGGGCCGAAAATCTTCCGGATGTCATCAGGGGAGAGACGAGAGTAGTATTCAGAGTGTGTAGTTGTGGAGGAGCATGGGGAAGGGGAGGGGGAGGGGGAGGAGGGGAAGGAGGGGGAAGGAGAGGAAGAGGAGGAGGAGGAGGAGGAGGAGGCACGAGACGAGCGCATCTCTGGCCCTCTCCGCATCCTCCTCTCCTCTCCCAGTGCTGTTCTGCTCTCCGCTGCTGCTCCCCTCATCCCTCCTCCTCCCCTCTCCCCTGGCCCTCTCCTCCTTTCCTCTCCCCTTGTCCTATCCTCCCGCCTGCTGCTCTCCTTCCCCTCTGCTCCTCTCCCCTGCTGATCTCCTCTCCCCTTACCGCCACGCCCTGATCCATCGCCACCTGTAACCCAACTGTAAGCACGCCATGATGCATTGCCACCTGCAACTCAGCCGCCTGCCTAGGGTGTGCTGGAACCTGACATAAGACGAGAACAGAACGAGGATAACATCGGGTGAAGATAAATCGGGAACCTCTGAGATCCGGCGGCTCTGGAGGATGTCTCGGCCATCGCAACCTTCTCAGGGCGATCCGGAACGAGAACGTTCTGGAACGCTCTGGCACGGATTTGTCGACGGCCCAGCCCCGTCCTAACCTGCCTGCCCAAAGTGTGGTGTGCAAATCTCGACGGGGCCGCCCCGGACCGGGACGACGGCAGCCTCGTGCTGGGAGTTGAGCGAGGACGCAGGGTCGTCACCAGAGGTGTGGGTATGGTAAGAGTACGACTGCGTAGTCAGCCAGGAGAGGACAGGAAAGGGGGCTTGACACACAGCGGGAAAAGGTCTGCAACCCGAGCAATCAATGCTCCTGATCCTCCTCCATGTCCTCGTCGGCGTCGTCGTTGGCATGCCCCTCCACCCCCTCCTCCTCCTCCTCCTCCTCCTCCTCCTCCTCCTCCTCCTCCTCGTCCTCCAGCCACCAGTCTGCTCTTCCTCGCCCTCGTCGTCGTCCAGCATCCCCTCCTTCTCCCCCTCATCCTTCTCATCCTTGATCGTAGTCTCCGTTGCTGTCCTCTGTCCCTTCCCCCTCCTCTTGCTTTCTCCACGCCCTGCTCGTCATGCTCGTCCTTCTCCTCCTCCTTCTCCTCCGCCTCCTCCTGATTCCTCCTTCTCGCCCTATGCGTCCTCGTCGTCCTCGTCGTCGTCTCCCTTCTCTTCTTCCTCGCTGGCTTTGTCGTCTCGTCCTCCTCCTCCTCCTCCTCCTCGCCCTCGCTCTTCTCCCCCGTTCGGATGTTGCCGGAGCTCCTTCCAGCTCGAGCCGCGGCCCCCGTGGGCTCTAGACGGCCCACGGGGCCCGATAGGGCCCCAACCTGCGCCGAAATTGGGAACAGCTCGTGGTGCGTTCTGGCCGGAACTTCGAGCGAGGCGAATCAAGCGGTGGCGACGAGGGCCGCCCAGGAGGCCCGAAGGCGAAAACGAGGCACTGATAGCGGTATCGGTATACGATTTCTTTCTCTGAGCTCCCCCCTCTGCGGCGAAGCGCAGGGCGGTCCGCAGACGATGGCCAGCGAATATATGCGGTTGTCGAACACCGTGTCGATGGGGCCGAATATGGTGCCGTTCCAGTCCGTGAGCGTCGCGTCGTCGTCCCTGGCGAGGCCCCAGGAGACCTTCGGGCGAACCCCCCCCCGCGGGCGCGCGTCCTCGCAACGGTGGCATGGGCAACTGCCGTGCTCTTGATAGCAGCAAGGAGAATGCCAGACATGCTTCCGCAATGAAACTCGACGGATTGTTCTAACACATCTCGGCCTCTGGGAGCCCTCGCTGGGCCGCGGGACCGTAAAAAAACGACTCGGGATGAACAAACGGCCTTGGGAAAGGATTGGGGCTTCTGGGGACCGCGTACTGCACACATCGAGACATCGCATATCTGGGGCAGCAAGGTGCTGAAACAGAAGCCGGGGAACGTGGCGGTGATATCTGTCATGGCCGCCTGCGCAGCAGGTCAGAGATGCGCAGGGATTCACTACGAACAGGGCCACCACAAGGCCAACAGGCCCGGGACGCATCGACGGGAAGCAGGGGCCACAGCAGCCCCAGGATGCATCCGCGACGCTGCAGACCGTTCCACTCCCGACCCAAGCCCTCTGGCGGCGCGCACAGGCGGGTAATTAGGGGGAGGGGGGAAGGCTTCTTAGAGGGAGGCTGCTGCTTAAAAGGCGCGGGCCTGGCATCTCTAGATTTATGATGGTCGTGTTCGCTAGACTCTCGAAGAATCGGAAATTTAAAAAAGGCTGTTTCAGAGCGTTTTCAAGGGTTTCTGAGGCTTGTTTTTGCAGGCTCAAAAAAAGCTGTTTCAAAGTTCGCTGATTTTCCGAAAAAGCCGTGTGTTGGAATTGTAAAAGGAGATTTGTTTCCCTGGGTCCAGTTCGCATGCCTTTTTCGCATTTCCATTCTTCTTTCGTCTTCTTTGATTTCGTCCGTCCTCACCGCTTTTGGCTCTCTCATGTGTTTTGTTCTCCGATGTTCTCACTGCGTTAATCGGCATAGGCCTCTGTCTCTTCGCGTCTTCGGCCCAGTAACTATCAGTATTCCCTTGCCTTGTTGTGCCTTCAACTACCACGTCTCCGACATCAGCCTTGCTTCTCTTCTCCCTCGAACAACCACTCTCTCCGCCAACCGCGCTTGGCACGACCTCCCGTGCTGGGTGTTGGGCCCCACCCCGCTCTTCAACATGCAGCAAGGAGTGAGTGCGCCAGGATATATGGCGGATGGCCGTGTGTGCAAGGTGTTGTGCGCGGGCGCCACCCATGTGGATGTGCCCATGTGGCGCGGGCGGTATGCCATATGCGTCGGAATGTGACAATGGGTCGGGTTCGCGTTACCGCACCAACCTTTAAACTTAAACCTGACACGCAATGTGAACGCTTGAGCGTCAAAACTGGTGGGCACGCACGCACTATTTTGCGTGTGTATATGGCGCGTGGAAGAAGATGCGTTCCCTAACCAGCGCACGAACGCACCCATGAACCCCCACGCGCACGCACACGCACACTTGAACCCCCACACGCGACACCGCAACCGTTTGTACACGACCGCGCGCACCGATGCAACCGCGTATCCAACCCGACACGCACGCACAAACGCAGGTGTTTAATTCAGCGGCGGAGTGGCCACTCGGGCGCGGGGAGCGGATGGGGGCGCGACGTCCATCACATATTGTTGATGGGCGAATGCAGCAGCGCGTCTAGAGCCAAGCAAAACATGCACTCACCTACCCAGACACGCACTCAAGACACCCGCGCAAGGCCCACACGTGGGCCTAGTGTTTTGCACAGCGGTCGAGCACGCGTGGCCCGCGCCCCAGGCACGGTGAGGGGGGGGGAAAAGGCAGCGTGATCGTGCCCTGGTCGCGTCCGCCGCCTTGGCCGCCTCCTCCTTCTCCTTTAGCCGCCTCCTCCTGTCCTTGCCGCGGCGCCCTGAGTTCCTCGTTAACCCTTTTGTGTGAAATGGAACGCATAATGGCGCACCCCGCCGCGCGCTGGTTTCGCAGCGCTTTATGCGGATCGCCACCCATCACAAAAACAAAAAGCACCCGCGCCATCCATCCACCCGCGCGCCCACCCTGCAACCCTCTCGGCGGCGGCCGCCATCAGTATATTCTACTCGCCCAGCGCCACGTTGTCTACATGTTACCCACAACGTGTCCTGGCGCTCGCGCGCCTGGCCATGTACGCGGTGAGCGACATTGGGCCCCAGCTGATTGATTTCCGTTTGCGGGCCTCCTTTCCCTCCCTGGTGTTCTTTACCCTCTCCCCTTTTTCTCCCCTTTCGCATCCTCTCTCCCCTCTCCCCATTTTCCTTTCAATCCTTCGAGGCCCAGCCCGCGGCGCCGCGTCCCATAGCGACGTCGACCGAACGCAGCACTGGGTAAGTTCCCGCCGTGCCCGCAAGCCAATATCGGCACGCCCCTCACGACTGTTGGTGCACGCAAGGGGCTCACCGATACCCTATAAACAAGATTGCGCCTTCCGACCACTTCAAAAAACTCGACCTGACTTTCGACAGGGAGCAATCTGAATCAGAGGAGGGGGGGCGGAAGACGAACATCAGCGCCAGGCGGCGCAGGGGGAGCGAGGGGGGGGAAGAAGGCAGAGAAGGGGAGAAGAGGAAGAGGAGAGAGGGCGGGGGGGGTGGATGGCAAGGGAGGGGGGAGGAACATCCAACGCAGGCTTGCTTGAGCCTGGGGGCCGCCCGCGCACCAAATCCCAGCGGCCCCCGCTGAAGAAACCGTTTGCCCTTGCGCGCCCGTGGTTTGCGAGGGAACGATTGAGGATATGGTGCCCTCTTTGTCGAAATACATTGTTTGTGTTTCTCCAGCTGTCTTTTGCCCCCCCCCCTCCCCCCCCCCCCGCGGCTCTCTGGCGCCGCCCGCGGTAAAGCAGCGGGCGAATGCGACGAAACTGTCCAGGGTACTCGTTGGATCCATCCTCCGCCGCGGCAGCAACGCTCCCCTTCCGCGCGAGTGGGGCGCTTGTTGCGGCAGAGGAAGGCAGGAACAATCAAGGGTGCGTTGGATAAGTTCATCGCGCATTCTCCTGTTGTTCCCTGCCCGCCTTGGCGCCTGTGGGGCGCCTTTTGGAGGCCTCTGAGGTCTCTTGAGGCCTGTTGGGGGCTCTTGGGGGCCTCGCGGGGGCTTCTGATGGGGTCCGCTGGTGGTTCGCTGTGCCGTTAGGGGCCTCGTGGGGTGCCCCTTGGGGGCGGACTCTGGGGCCCTTATGGGCCTCGTGGGAGGCCGCGGCAGGGGGGGGGAAGAGGACCGCCAGGAGGCGGAACAAACCAGAGGAAGAGAGCTCCGACGGCAACGGGGGCCAGGCGCAGGAAGAGGGGGGGGGGGGAGGAGCAGGACAAGGCAACGCCAGAGTGGGACGAGGATGTCCCCTGATTGCTCCGCTGCGCACCTCACGAGGATCGTGGCCCCACAGTGAGCCCCATTGCCTTCGCGAAGAACGAAATCGGCCCTCTACCCCCCTCCACCCCGCGCGCCTCCTTGGCGCTTCCTCGGAAGGGCAGTAGCTGCGCAGGGGTTGCACCGACTGCGTTTGTGGCAACGTTCGAAAGGCGCCCCGCTGCGCATGTCGACACCTGCCTCACACGCACTGTTGCCCTGCAGGGAGCTCCCCCGAGACCTCGTGGCGAACTTCTCGCGGCGTGCCCCATCGCGCGTCGGCGCGCCCCTCACAGTGTTGGCGGCCCCGCAGGGAGGTCCACTGACAACGTCGGTAGCAATGCTCGCATGTCACCTGCCTTTTTTCGAGCCCGCGTCGGCGCGCCCCTCGCGTGGGGGTAGGCGCCGCAACGGGGTCCACAGACGGCCCAAGAATGGCCAGAGCCAACGCCGTCGTGTTTACACGTGGTTGCCGTGTCCGTCCGCAGTTGGATCGTCTTGATGTTGGGTCGCGCCCGTCGCCAGGCTATGTTTGCATTGCCGCGCGAGGAAGCGGCAGTGTAGGTAGGCAGCGATGTTCTGAGTTTGGGATCGTTATTGGTTGAATGTTTCAGTCGCAGCTGCGACGTATCACGGGGCCATGTTGTTATCAACGGTCACGCCGTCACTTCGGTAGCCATTTGTTTCAAGCCCGCGTGTTTGGAGCTGTATTTGCCTGCGGGCCGTTCGCCACCATGCCTCGCGGTAAAAGTGGTGACCAGTTGAAAGCGATGCAGGACGCTGCCCGAGAGTCCAAGCGGCGGCGCCGCGAGCAGCATGCCATCGGGGAACAATTGCGCCCGCAAGTTGGCCCTGTTGCAGTGGACGCTCAATTGTTGTCGGGCCAGCTTGCGGCCAGGTCGCCCAACGCGCTGCATCCGATCGTTGATATCGTTGGGCAGGCCGTGGCGAACGCCATGGCAGTCAGAGCATCTCCGTCTGAGCTCGGGCGACGTTTCTTGCTCGAGAATGTTTCTACTGATAAGACGCCGCTGGACAAGAAAGCTAGTGCCTTCAACATGAGCAGGAGGACGTACGACAGAACTACATCCAGGTTGGCTTCCCTTGCGTGGTGCGTGCCCCGCCTCATCAGGAGATCGATCATGAGTGCAGTTGGTCGCCCCGCAGCTGGCGCCACCATCACTGTTCACCAGGTCGTCGATGCCGTGGCGTATGATGAAACTCCGTTGGGCCTCAGGGTGCTTGCCAACCCCTCTAAGCGAGTTGACCCTGACAGTTGCACGTTGTCGCCGTCGGAGTTGGCTCCTGTGTTGGCGGCGCGGGACCTTTCGAAACTCAACAGCAGTGATGTGTGCAAATTGTTCCAAACGCTGTCGGAGTGGGGTGTGTGCGCAACTGCCGAGAATGATGATCGTGTGCGGAAAGTGTTTATCATTGGTCAGTGCCACAATGTGTTGCAGGTTCTTCGGACGACATCGGCAGTATGTATCGCAGAGGCCTTGGCTGACTCAGATTGTGCTACACTGGGCGAATGCAGAGCAACATCTGCAACCCGACTTGTCAATATTGACAGGCACGCTTCGAATATGGCCGCAGAGCGGCAGTTGTTGGCATCTCGTTCTGGGAATTGGTCTGTGTTGCCATCTTTTTGTGAAGTGCACATGACAGCATCGATACACAAAATGGCATTCTCCCCAATTGAGTTTGCTGTTTCTGGTTGTA